TAAATTGAATTAAAGTGTCTTTTTTTGTTTTATGAAGAGCAGAAAATGAAAAATGGAAATCAATTTGTTTGTACAGTTGAAATTTTGCACACATCGGGTTAGGCGGACCTAGTGTGTCATTTCGTTTTTATTTCTTCCCATAGACCGAAATTTTTTGAAAAAAACTATTTTACTCCATGAAACCTCATCAGATCATGATAATTAACTTGTAAAACATTTTGAACATAAAAAGAATGTTTTGAACAGGGCAGATGAATGCAAAAAATGAACGAATAAATGAAATCTGGTAATTAGATTCTCATGTGGATTGAAGCTGCTTAAACCGATATCGTTGCAGCAAAGAAATATGCAAGATATAGCTTATTTTTATTTTTTCCAGTCAGCTTTACATTTCTCCTTTTCCTGAAACGCAAACTAATTATTGATTTCGCTTTTTATAATGCGTCATTTCTGGTTATTTCTTAAAAATAGTTAACTTCTTTAGCTTTTATTTATTCAGTTATTTTTTATTAGATCCAAAATTCATATCAGAAACAACTTATATAATAAAACTATTAGATTTAAGCATCAAGATTCTAAAAAAGAAAATATCAGTTTTACTTAAAAATGCCAAGAGCCATTTCATTTTATCCTTAATAATTGCAATTTTTTAGCAAAAAAAGAATGGAAACGAGAAATAAACCTCTTGCATGGAAAATTTTTTTCGATCAACGTTTTTTAGCTTCGTGCGGAAATCGACTTTTTGTTGATCAACTTTTTTCAGTTTATCGAATCTAATTCAAATATTTTAGGATGAAAAATCTTAAATATGCAGTTGCACGAACACCGGAAATGCAGTGTACAACACTAAGATTAGTCTCATTTATATTTCATAGTTTCTACAAATTTTTATCCGTTTTGCCAATTTTTGAGATTCATACTGAATCCATATTTTTTTATAAATATTTGTATTCCTATTATTATGAGATTTTCAAATGGATTGGAATTGTTTAAAATGGTGCCATTTTTGAATGCTGCATTCCGATAAATCAAAAGGATAAATAAGCTTATGATAAGAATAAAAGTAACAAACCTTGTGTCGGTCTTCGAAACTTTTTTTAAAGTCGGTTTCACGCTTAAAAAAATCTGATAAATAAAAATTAAAGAAAATTTTTCTTGATATTTGATCAATTGCACTAAAATTTTTCAATCAAAAATTAATAATTCATAAAAATAAATTTAGGATGTTTCTTTTTTAGACTTACTTTGATCTTAACATGTCTCTTTATATCGCTGAATTAGCCATTATAATTATATGAAAATAATTAAGCATTTTGGAAAAATGTTTTGATCATTTTTATCATTTTCATGCTTCATTTTAACAAATTCTGACATTAAACTTGAAAATTTGCATTTTGGTAGCCATTTAATTCATTTTTCGTTGAATTAACTTTTATAATTTAATTTAATTTTTCTACCATTCATTTTTGAGTAAAACATTTAATATTAAATTGATATTGACAATGTATTAATTTATTAGGTAACTGAATATACAAAAAAATTTTAATTAATTTTTAATTTTTGCCCCCTTAACCATCACAAAAAATATCTGCAAATATCTTTTTATTTGTTTTATTTTTGAGATTCATACTAAATCCATAATTTTTTGCAGATATTTTTATTCCTATTATTACAAGATTTTCATATGGATTAAAATTGTGAGCCTGTTATTCTTTGTATTTTGCCAGATTTAAAGGAATCACCCCGCATAGTGATTTATTAACCACAGTTCTTACGTTGGAATTCAAAATTTATAGAAGTTATTTTGCGATGTGCCGAATTTTATTTTTTCTTGTTATCCTTTTTTTGCTATTAATATTGCTCTAATCAAATAGAATATCTGTAAAAAAAATCATCAATTCATGCACCATTGTTATATTATCAAGAAATTGGAACTTATTCGGAAATATCTATATATATATATATATGTATATTGTATCAATGATATCGACAATATTGTTGTTGTTATATTTGTTAGCATACTACAATATTTAGCTTATAGCTATTAATACAGTCAGAAATTTTTGCAAGGAAGTGTTAACGATAGATGTTATGTTATAAGTTATCGCCAGCTTCACCTGGACTTTTAATGGCAAATTTGTTCCTATAGTATGAAGGATTCGGACATAAACCTTTTTTAAGGAAAACATCGATAACTTACTTAATTAGACTCAGATTATTTATATACTATCAAATTAATATTTCTACATTTTGCTTTTGGCTTTTTTATTCTGTAAAAAATTTTTTTTTTGTTGTTTGATGAATTGGTTTGTTCGTTGGATTTTTTATATTTTCATACGGCAAAGGTGTATCGGTGGATCAATGGTAAGATAATTGTCGCTGAGAATCAAGATTTTGGTTCGAATCTTATCAATGGACCATGTCTAGACAGGCCTCAGTGTCGCATAAGGGGGAAGATAAAGGAGAATAGTGGCTCAATGGATTGTTGCTTAACTCGGAGCAAGCACGGATGCTGAGGTTCTATTTCTGGGAGGAATAAACTTGTGCCTTAAAATTCGAATAATTGGAGATTTACTTATTTCTGCCACCAAGGGACTCCTCTATATATTTCTCTATTCCGAGAAGCCAGCAGAGCCACTCTAACCAGCAATGTTATGTGCTTTTAAAAAAAAGGTTCATGTCCAAAAAGAGTGTACCTGAGTGAGTAGCTAATTGGCCTAACTACTGTGCTAATTAGCCATTGGTCAATTTATAATTTTCTTGATTGTATGTGACAAAGATTCATCGCGAAACTTCAGCTATTAACTATACTTCTCTCAAAGATGAAATGATCAGTCATAGTCGAGGAAGATTAGAATGAGTGCCTTGTGATGTTGCCATAATAAAGTCCATGATTTTGGGTTTTGATATGCCAGTGGAAAGCGATTTCTTCGTTCTGAGGAGAACTGCTTCTTTGCCAAATAGTACTACCAATATATGACAATCACATAAAAGTCTCCAAACAGTCAATATTCCGATTAGATTTACTACATCTTGGTCAATTATTATTGGAATAATCCTTTAAAGTGACGGAACACAAAGCATAGCAATCTTTTGACTATTATAAAAGAGTTAGCATATTTTATGCCGAATTGTCGAAATATTTTTGTGATGCAAATATTAATGACACCTATGGAACAGCCAGTAGTTCCCTAAAAAAATATCTTTAAAAGTCAAATTCATGTTATGATATGCTGTGCTAGTTGTGTATCGAAAGCTACAGTGCAACTGCTTGAAAATGCTGCTAGCGCATGCAGAAATCCTTTCCTATCAAGCGCTTCGAAAATGTGCCACAATACTACTATGTTATTATTGCAATGTTATTATAAGTAATCAACTGGAAATCATTATTGGAGTGATATGGCTTTAAATATGGAGATGATTGCTTGATGACTATAAACGATAATATTTAGTAAACTATTCCGCTTTCATCAACCATAATTCGGGAAATGATCCGAAATAATATGCCTATCAAAAACCACTTTGTACGGTATCAAGAATAGCATATACTGTGAAAGCATGGAAGAATTAATCTAAAATTTTCGCTTTTTTTCTGCTGTATAAATTTATAGGGGATATGAGATAGCTGAATGACCTAGCTATGCTGAATTTAGATGAGAGGTGGATATGCTAATGAAATATTCATGAGTTGGGACATCATTTTAAACACCTGCAACCCTCGTCATCTGTTTTTATTGACTTCGCTGTTGTCTTAGATTCAAAAGATGTAGGACTCTGAAGAATAATGATTGCGATATTTCAGGGATCATTAACAGGTCTATTACATGAGAAAGGAACAGAATCTTTCAAAATAAAGGTTGTTTTTCTGCTGTTAGGACTACGCCATCTTTCCTATCATATTGATCATGCGATTATATGAATACCATTTGCCGGTACAAGACATCCAAATCTAAATCTAGAGATAGCATCCAAGATCGCTGAATACGATGCTGTATTTTTGTTCCTTTTGTTCCTTTTGCTGACAGTAAAAGACAGACAGTTTATAAAAAAATGCAAGAGATGCTAGAAGTGCATCGACAACTAGCAAAAATTGGGCTCCGGATCAATAAAAATATCTTATCAGAGGACGACAAAATAATTATTTTTAACAATTCATGATGAGCTGATAAAGTGCCAGACTTTAAATGTATTGGATATATTCTTGGACCAAACGGCCAAGCGAAAAAAGAAATTGCGACCTGCATAACCGTAACTAGAAATGCTTTCTTTAGTTTGGAGAAATCTCTATGGAATCTCCGTAAAGTTACCATTAAATAAAAATTCGCATTTATCTGGCTGTAGTGCCATCTTTGTTATATGCCTGTGAACTATAACCAGTAGAGAATATTGCAAAACTTTAACTCATGCCTAAGGCATTTAACATGGCCATCCATCGAACGGATAAAATCTCACATAATTACATCCACAGTCACTTAGATATCATCTGCATTAACATCATTTGAGCATCACCTACGCCTACGCTGGTTAGGTAATGTTCTTCGTTAATTGAAGGAATTGCAGGAATTGTCGCATATATCGCTACTTGCCAAACCCTGTGATGGATGGTTTTAAAAGCGAAAAGAGCCAATGAAAATCTGGAATGTTGCTGTCAGAGGAGATTTCGAACACATAAGCTATTTGTGGACTCAAATGGTGAAAAAAAGAGTAACTTTTGTGTGAATCTAGATGTGACATTGGATCGAGCAGCTTAAAAACACCTGTCTTTATAGCAATCTGAGCTAATCTAACAAGTAATGAATGGTGTAAGCGGTATGAAAAAAAAACTCTTCTTGATTGATTAGTCAAAATATATTTTTCACCACATATGCATGAGATAAAAAATTCGAACCAGTGAGACTCGATTTTAGTTTTATAGTTTTCAGTTTCTAATGCGCTTTTGCAAACGAAATTCAAAAATTTGTTCATAAAGAAGTTTTAAGCCTAATATGTATGAAAATCACTCACAATTTTCCTCGGAGATCATTTACAGCAATCGTTAGTTCGTTGATCTCAAAATCTTTCTGACGAACTGTATAATTTATATCATAATTTTCGCTTTCCAGTAACATTAATCTATCGACCATATCCTTTGCAATTTCTTCTAATTCTTCTAAAATCAAAAAAAAATATTATGATAAAAGTGAAATTCGAAAGCACAGTTTTTTATAAATCAATTCAATTTCTCATACTTTTATCAAAATCTTTAACTATCTTTAATTTAACGAATTTTGCAAGTTTAAAAGAAGGATTAAAAATTTTAAACCTTGTCCAAGTGAATCTAAATCAGGTAATGGAATAATTCTTTCTTGGAGTACTCGTTGGCGTTCTTGTTCTTTCAGCATCTGCTGCTGTTTAAGATCTTCTGCTGCTTTCATCATTAACAATTTCTTCAAAAAAAAGTGCATATAAATGCATATAAATCTTTTATTTATTCAAGGAAAGAAACGCAAGATCCAAGAAGTCTTGGTTGTTACTCCAAATGCTCTTCTGAAGTATCTGTAGATTTCATCTTATCACTATCACACTATCAAACATTGCAATATCCTTTAATCTTTGTTTCACTGTAGCCTTATTTACTTTTGTATCAAACCGGTTATACTTCTGCTAAATTTTAAAGGTTATTCGTGAATTTCATATTAATTTCAGGAAAATTTTTTGAATAAATTTAGGAAAAGAAGAGAGATACGAGAAAAGAAAAAGTTTTGTAAAATTTGAATCCTATAAATTTAATAATTTTCATAAAAAAACAGTTCCAAATGTTATTCAATAAATTTTTGGAAAACTTGGCAATTTACTCAATTCTAAAGTAAAAAACTAACTCGAAGTTTCTTTTTTCTTTCAGGTGTTAGGAATCCTTTCTTTGCCTTTTTAGCTCTTCCTGCTTCTTCTAAACGTTTTCGGACTTCTGCTTTTTTTCTTTCCCTTTCAGCTGCAGCTCTTTTAGACTTAAAAATCATCGTTTATTGTTTTCCGAAATTTCCATTTTTCATTTGTTTTTTCAATTATTAAAATTCTTCGAATCAATCCATATATTTTCGCCAAATTTTTTTTTTGATAATTTAGTTTTAGTTCAAAATTAATGATTTTTCTAAATTTATAAATTTACATTTAAATTTATAAATTTTTAAATTTATATCTCCTAATATATATTTTTTTGCAACCATCATTTAGCAGCGGAGCGGATGTTTGCATTCCAAGAAGTCTCGGCTGAAAATCCAAGTGGCATTTTTCCCTATTAATTTACAAATTTAACTAATTATTTGCTAAAAATTATCGAAAGACTTACTGCATCATCCTCTTCTTCTCCATCTATGTCATTGGCTCTTCCACTTGTGCTCATTTTAGCGGATTCTAAATACGATCAAGAAAGAAACCATTAAAAGTAAACCATCAATTGTTATTTTAAGAAGATTTTTTCTTTTCTTTTAACATTTATTGAAGGATGTTCTGATTGAAATAAATAAATATTTATTGTCTCTTGCTGCCTTTTGCAAAAAAAATATAATCAAAAGAATAAAATCAAAAGAAAGATTAAATAAAGGATAAGATCATCAAAATATGCATACTAGTCTAATTAGTTGTTGCGAAATTGATTTTTTGATAATTTATATCAGAAGAAATAATTAACTTATTGAAAAAAATTAAGAAAATGGTCGAATAGAAATCGATGAGAACGACTGATATCAGCCGTTGAATAATCCAGTATACAATTTCATTCAATGTAGCAGGTAGGATTGAGAAAATCAGACAGCACTTCAAAACTGGATTATATAATTGTCCTAAGCAATTTTAGAATGTTTTTCAGTTGGCATTGTTTGTGAAATATTTTTACAAATGAAAATTGTTTTAATAGGTTGAAATAAGAAAAAAAATTTAAATGCAGAACTGCAATTATGAATTTATAGTTAATAAAAATTATTATTTACTATTAGCTTATTCGCTATCTTATTCTTTTGGAATGCGAAATTCTCGTAAAAGTGTGAGGAATTTTCCTTCTGTCCGGAAAAAAATTATCTTTAAATATTTGTCTTCAACAGACTTACTTTATGTTGTTATAAAGTGGCTTTATTAAGAACTGGTTTTCTTTAGAAGATATTTTGTAATAAGTTATGGCTGCAGAAAAATAAGAACCAATATTATATAGTAATAGAAAGTAGAAGATGATTTCTTTATATTTTGGATCATCATTTTTAATCCATATGGCTTAAATTGATAATTTTTGGAGTCCATTGCCAAATAAAAAGAAAGAACAAATATTTATTTTTTATTTTTATCTCTTCCACCTTTTTATTCAAAAATATTCTTAAAATGTCATCGAAACTATATTTTAAAGTGAAGTATAACAAAATTTGACGCAAATTTGGTGGCTTTTCCCCACAGAATGGGAATTTTTCGCTTTGCAAATGGCATCGAGACTTTAGTTCATGGTTTGTCCATTTTTCATCAATTATAAAATGAGCATATTTTATATTTTATAAGTGTGTAAAGATTCTTCGAGCAAAGGCTGTTTTCTTAACTTTTTCATAGAATAACCTATTTATTGCGCAAATTCTCAAATTTTTAATTGAGGATTTCTAGATTTCTACTTTTCGCGATAGCAAAAATTTGGAATCTATTGATTTTTTAAAATTCAGTGGTAAAAATGATTTATGAAGTACTAAGCAAATATATTAAATCCACATTTAATCCACATTTTCATACTTAATGAGTTCTATGAATATTCGTAAAAACCAAATTCAAAAAAATTCGAATTTAATATGTAATATTAAATTTAATATGTAATATGTACAACGACTTCTTCTTCTTTTTCTAGCAGCTCTCACCATTACTAATTAAGATGTTTATGTTTCCATGTTGCGTGACCTGGTGTCACCATCGACAGTAATAGAAGCCACTACTTTTTCTATCGTCTGGATATATTGCTGGTCCACCTATACGTTCAAAATCTTTTCTAACTGTATCAGTTCAGGTCTTGATTGGGCACACCTCGCTTTTGTCACCACTCATCACAAGGTTTAGCTAGTCACGAAACAAATGCCAACTCTTGTGTTGGGCGATCGAACTTTAAGATCGAACGAATCGCGATTATATAGACGCGAACTTCAGTGGTAATCTCGTGACGGCTCCATAAAGGTTTCGCTCTAAACTGGATGAACGCATTTCTAGCTGCCATCATCCGAGCTGTAATTTTTTTTGCCCGGCAATCCGGTATTAGAGTGGATCCAAGATATTTAAAATCGCGCAATGAGTTTATAAAAATAGCTATTTTATAAGCCTTTTGTATATAAGACGAAAAGACTTTCGTTTTATTTTTATTCACCTTGAATCCGATTCTCGCTGCAGTTGCTGACATATCGTTTAGCATTTTTTTACATTTCGTCATGACTGTCAGCAGAAAGACTATCATCAGCGTATTCAAGATCTGTAATACGATTCTGGACTAATTTGGGCACCTCTTGAGCGCCGACAAGCGGTATCCATTATCCAATCTATCGTATGGTTTAATGTTCTAAGGGAAAGGATGCAGCTTTGATAAACATCAGTTCTTATTTCAAAAAGGCCTGTCGCCCATCTTTTATAAACCAAATGATCCTCTCTGGAACACCGTCGTGTTCCATTATTTTCCAATGCATCGTTCTATCAATTGAATCGAAAGCAGTCGCAAAGTCGATGAAACAAATAACGTTGGGTTGTAGAAATGAAATATTAGTAACAAAAAGTTCATGCATTTCGGCATAACAAAGAAGGTGTTCCCCATTGGCGTACCGTCCTCTGATGCCATATTTGCCAATTATCGAGATCATCGCAACCTATGAAACATTCAAGTCCTCGACTATGACCACGTCATGTTTCGGTAGAGACTTTGCTAGGTCATCTGCGCACAAAGTTGGAGTACTGATGGAGAAATTGCATATCTGTCGTATGAAGCGCACTTAGGCCATACGTTCATTTACTGTTTCTCATTCAATTAGAGCGAATCGAGTCTCTTCAGACATGATAATCGCTACGTTATTTTGCCCCGACTTATCCGAGATACTATAATGATAAAGCCAATATCTTTGCTAGGAATGAGGTTTGATAACTACTTGAGAGTCGACACAAAGAAAACGGACCACTGACAAACAAGCCACATCCACGCGGTATTTAGAAAAGGTGTGGACAATGATGTTTGGCTTACAATATCCATATGCGTTCTAACGGTCCAAGCAGCTATAGCGGATTGGTTCTTGCCCCTCTTGACGGGTTTTAAGTAATTATCTCGTTTCACGAATTCTATGGAATTATTTAATTATTTTTACGCACGGCTCTTGTATTTCTCGCATGCATCACCTGCCCAAAAGTATCATGCGCGTCGGATGACGCGAACGCCGTATCAAGAACCCTTTCACCATAGTCACTTGGAAATTGAGTTACAGGTGGCACCCAGCAACCACCTGGATTTTTGATATGACAGGTTTATTCTTGTCGCGGTAAGTATAATATTATATAATTTTATAATATTATTAATTAATAGCATAAGATGGGAGAAAAATAAAAAATTTTAAAAAATTTAGAAAAAAGGAAGAGAAAAAAATTACCTTTTGGAATGCCCAAATGAAACAATAATCGATTATCAATCAGTATTTAATAATGATAGTTATTTTTCTAATAGTTATAGTTATTTTCTATACTTTAATAAGAGTTGCACGACTCGACTGCTCACTGCCATTTTCAGCGGTTGGATGAAATATTTAATTATATGTATTGAATAGAAATATTTAAATTTTATGTATTAGAAGATGTTAGCAATAATGCAAGCAGAAATTAAACTTTGAATGCGAAAAATTTTGAAGTCCACTATGCTATGACAAAAATAAAACTTGAAACCTTGCATAACTTTATTTATAGAAATGAAAAATGATAAATTTGATTTATTTACAGTAATACATTCATATGTAGACCAGTGAGATTATAAAGTGTTGTTACAATATTCTCACAATATTCACCTTCTATAATTGAATGAGGGAATGGTTAATGAAAAGGCAGGAGCACTTTGCCGACGTTTGCGATTTCTCTTAAATGGAGTTTTTACGCTTATTTCTTGACAACGATCACCTATTACATTCATTTCTTGAGCGTCAAAGCCTGATGAAGTATTTCTTGACCAAGAATTCCTAGTGTGTTGTATTAAATTCTGCGAATATTTGCTGATGCTCTTACGCGCTTTCTTCGACGCTTCGAAGGCCTAAAATTAATTTCAAATAACATACAGCTACTGTTACTATCTTACAATCCAATTTTTTATTAATTTTAAAATAACCTTTTCTCTTATTTCTTCTTGTAAAATAAAATAACACATAGAAAAAAGAATAATTCCAAAAGTAATAAAAAATGCATTAATTAATACAACTTTGGAACTGGACGGAAATATATCTCCAAAGCCTGAAAATTTTCAAGAAAAAATAGAAGGAAAATTTTAACTCGTTTTATTAGGCCTTTTTAATTCAATAAGTTTATAATTATAATAAATTTTTAAAAAATTACGAATGCACAAAAATATTTGCTTGAAAAAAAGTTAAAAATTGAAACATTATGTGTGCAAAAAACTTTAATTTTAAATGTAATAAATGTAATAGTGGAATTAATTCATACTAGTCACCATTATCATAGCTCTGCTGCGAATTAGTATAATCGAGTAAAAGTAAGTGATTAGCTCTCATCATTTCTGGCTAGGATAGCTTTACTGGCATGGTTAAAATTTTTTGCTAATAATCTTCATCCATGAATTATCACTATCTATAAATTTTATATCACTATTTAAAATTTATTATCACATGGAAATTTTTTTCTTTTTAAGAGTCCTCACCATTACTGATTAGACTCGCTCCGCTGGCTTGTCGCACTGGACAAATATGTCCCTTGGCGATAGGAGTGCAATCGCCAGCATCATCCAGATTTTTGGACAGGTCTACTCCTGCGGAAAATAGAACCTCAGCATCGGCGAATTGAGGAACCCACTGAGCCATCATATCACATGGAAGTAATTATATCTAAAATCCTACCACTAAGGATTCATAGACTACTTGTCTTCATCATGATGAACGAAATTATGCTGCGATTTAAAAAGTTTGCATCGAACTAAAAGTAATTTTGAAAAATCTACATAAGGAAATCTCCACCACCATTTCAATAATATTTTTATAATGAAAAATGTAGCACTTTTCTCAACGAATCTCGTAAGAAATTTAATTTTAATTTAGTAATAACCCTGTGACAAAAGGGAAAAGATAAATTTACCAATAAGAGCAACACTACTGAAAAGAAAATAAAAAGCAGTAAAAAAGTCCCAATCAGTCATAACACTGAACAAACCACTTATAGCCAATAAATAAGCCAAAAATATGAAAACACCAGCAAAAAAAACCCTGAAAATAACCATTTTTATATAAGTGTTTCGTTACAAAAATCAAATCAGTCAGTGATTTAGTGAAAAATAAAAATTCCAGTGTAACATAAAAATTTTCAATAAGACTCTTTCTTATAAAAAGAATTGTAAGATTTAACTTATAAAAATTCGAGCAAAATCTCTTATAAAATAGCGAGATGAACCTTCTTTGTTCCAGAATTGATGTGTATCCTTCTTTAGATGAACCGAAACTAAATTTATCAATAGCCAATTGCTTACGCCTATCATTTTTGGGGTCGGATGCTTTCTCCAAAAATATAGTGACTGAACTCGACTGTTTTAACATGGACGCATTTTCTGGACGTATTAATTTAGAATTAATCTTCATAGCTCTATTGCCAACTAAATTTTTATTTTTTCATTCAATTAATAAGATTTATTCAAACATAAAAATATTATAAAATATACTTTCACTGTTTAAATTTTCATTAGTATATCATTATTCATTATAAGCAACAGGTAATAAGTCAATTTTTTTGCACAGTTGCCCATATAATTTCGTTTAATCGCAGCTTATTTTGTCCTTATGAGCACTTCATCATTTTGACAAGTTATTAAAAGCAAAAATGTGCGATCACAATAATTAGTCAAAGTAAATTTTTTTTTTAAGTCCTAACCATTACTGGTTAAACTTGCTCTACTGGCTTGTCGCAATTGAGCAATATGCCAGGGGGTCCTTGGCGATAGAAATGCAGGTAAGTCGCCAGCATCACCCGGACTTTTGCACAGGTTTATTCCTACGGGGAATCGAACCTCAGAATGGGCTCCCAGTTGAGCAACAACCCACTGACTTATTCTATTCCCAAAGTAAATATGAAAATTTATTTCAGCTATGATCAATTTTAATTTCATTTAGCATAAAACTCACAATTTATTAAAGATTTGCGATTAAATTTATATTTCTTAATAAAATTGTAAAGTCTCATGAAACATAAACGGAAAAAAGCTCCTTCCTCCTTAATAAAAGCGAAGAAAAGAGGAATTCCAATTGCTCCATAAATAACTGTAGCAATGCGGCACGCAACTGTGTCAGCCGCCATATTTCCATAACCTATCGTGCTATAGACGCTAAAAAATTTTTTTTTCATTAAATGATGGCACCTGATATTGCAATTCAAATAAATTTAAATAAATAAGCATGCGCTCATTATTTCTGTTAGATGCTGGCTATTAGTAGGATAAAAAATTTTGCCAAGGAATCATTTGAAAATAAGTGAATGGTCAGCATCATCGTTTTTTTTTCGATAACAAGTTCACTTCTGCTGGAAAAAGAAGCCTCATGATAAAATGAACTACTATTCATTCGGCTATTTTCATATCGCGGTACTTAATACTGACACGTTAGTTAAGAGCAAAAGCAAATAATATGAAATATAGCTATCTGCGAATTATAATGATTAAAATCACTGGAAGAAGCTGGAGACTTATAATTCTCTCTCAAAATCTCGTTTAAAAGGATCTTATCCTAATGGACAGTAAATCCAGCTAAAGTGCTTATTAAACGAAATCAACATGAATTTCACTGAAATCTCTTGCAAGAAGCCAAAATTACACGCCAAAATTAACAGAAAAAATAAAAAAAATGAAGAAAAAAATATTTAACGGCCAAAAAAGCTAATAAAAATACCTGAAAGCATATACGATAGCATTACTAAAATCAGACATTGGATGGAGTACTGTTCGATTAATTTCATGCCAAGCGCGATAGCAATGTTCTACATCATTTAAAAAACTGATCATTTTCTGAAGAAGTTTACAATACTTAAAACAATATTTAGAACAATGTATGGATGAAATTTCTACCAGAAGAGAAAATTAACTTTTCCAAAAAAAAGTTTTTATTGATAACACATTTATATATTCATATAATCTTTTTTCAATGTTCTCCTCTTCGTTTTTAGATAAAGTTAAATAACTAACATCATAGCAACGATTGGAATGGGTATTGCAAAATTTTTTAAGTGATTCCATCTTGAATTTACGGTCGGCTTGGCAACGCTTTTCGTAAATGGATTTAAGCGCATCATCATATTCACCATCAAGAGTCTGAATATAGATTGCTTTCAGTTTTCTCTAAAATTCATATTTTTAGCTAAAATAAATGGGTGATTACTTGAAAGATTAATGCACCAATAATAGTGTAAATTAGTAAAGTGATGAAGTAGAATATATGCAAAAGACGAGTTCGTCGCAGATGATTATGGGTTCTGAAAGAAAAAATAGTTATCATTTCTCAGATCTTTGCAAAATAAATATCTGAAAATCGATTGGCAAATGCGCAGACAGACATAAATTATACATATCAATAACAGTCCGAAAAAGAGGTAGTATTTCAGGGCAAAAAGTTTTTAAAAGCACCTAATTCGGAATCGACCTTCTGCGTTATTTGTCATATTATCTATTATCATGATTATAATATTAATGCAGTTAATATTACGATTTGCTTTTATGAAACGAAATTTTTATAAGACATTCACGAAATCACAGAAAAATAAGGGAATGCTTAAAGATTTACATTATTCATTTACATTTACATTTACATTTTATATCTATTGTAATGATTATTTTTTAAGATACCTGTGAATGGTTTTCCCCACATTGTGCAAAATGATATTATGATGATCTCCTGATGAATTGGAATTGATACTGGCTTGATTTGACGCTTTATACGCAACACTTCTGAAAACCGACTAATACCAATTTTTTATTTCACGCTGTTATAGCAATTTAATTAGCTAAAAATGAAATAAAAACTGGTGTCCGTCAAGGCTGCATCCTTTCCCCCACAATATTCAACTATGCGATAGACTGGAAAATGGGCATAATGACTGGATAATGATAATCTTGTCAGCACTCAAGATTATGGGTTTTCAATTCAAGAGGTTTGTAAATCAGTCCAGAGCATAGCATAGCATAGAGACCTCGAATACGCTGATGATGTAGCCCTTTTTTCTGACAGCTATAATGAAATGCAAATAATTTTAAACAATATGTCAACGACTGCAGTGAGAATTGGACTCAAAATCAATGAAAATAAAAACGAAAGTATTGTCGTCTTATATACAAGATACTGATACAATACCTATTTTTATCAATTCATTGCCGGTTGAGGAAGTGCTTGACTTTAAATATTTTGGAGCCACTCTAATCCCAAATGGCCAGGCAAAGGATGAAATTGTAACCCGAATAATGATAACTACAAATGTTTCCCAGCTGATGAAATCTTTATGGAACCGTTGCGAAATCACCATATAGACGAATATAGGCGTTCATAAAACTTCATAATTCGCTCGACCTTGTTATATGGCTGCGAAACACGGCCAATAAGAGTGGAAGATATTAAGAAACTATTAGCCTTTGACCACTCATGTCTAAGGTACAGATATTCTACGGATCCACAGAACAGATAAAAACAGATAAAATCGCACATGATTGTATCCACCTTCGCTCAAAAACCACTTGCATTAATAATGTTATCAGAGAGCGTCGCTGGTTAGGGGACATTCTCCGTCGTCCACCACAGGAGTCGACGCATATTTCGTTACTTGCTAAACTCTGTGATGGTTGGCGCCAAAAGCGAGATGGGCCAATCAAGACCTGGACTTATACAAACGAAAAATTTTGAACGTATAGGTGGACCAGCAATATATGGACTTAGACGATAGAAAAAGCAATGGCTTCTATTACTACTACTAGCAATGGCGTCGGACCGAGCAGCTTGGAGACGTCTTACCCTTGTAGCCAGTGGAGCCAGCCTAACCAATAATGGTGAGAGATGTTAGAAGAAGTCAGAAATGAAAAATGACAAAAAAAGTATAGATAAAAGTAAAAGTAAAAAGTATATAAAATATAAAAATCATAAAATTTTCCCATAAGATCTTCTGAAATAGGAACCATGCGGGCCAGCATGCCCAAAAATTTCATCAAAGTATACCAGTATGGGCCATATATAGAAATGAGGCTTATCAACTGACAATTGACAGTTCAGAATTTTGACGCTGACAGTTCAGATCATCGTGTTGGAGCTAGAAGTTCGGTTTCTACCTCCAAAAGCAAAATGCCATTGAAAAATTCTGTACTGACCACTTATCCTTGAAAATTTTGGCAAAAATTTCTCACAAATGGTCAGTAACAATACCTTAACCAGAAATGGTAAATGTCAAAGCGTTTTTCTTTCACAGTGAGTAAGGAAATAGTTAAAGATATGCTAATTTAAATTAACGAAAGCTTATTGAGAGCAACTATCTTACTGAAGAGCAAAATTTTAAGGACCTTTGCATGAGAGATTCAGTCGTTGGTATGCTGAGGCATATATTAATTGAGAAATTTTCAGATGAGATAGCATCTGTTGAATCGAAAATTTGTGCTCGTTTACCAAATCGCCCGAAATCAATCGAAGTGCTCAAATTTGCGATCGCTGGTAAGGAATTCGAATTTCGTAACATTTCCTAAAGTTGAAGTTAAAATTTAACTGAAATAAAATGAGCAAATTACACAAATCATAAAATTTTGGATTATGATAATTGAGAAAATTTCCATATTAATTTCGACCATCAAACCCTTCCCAATCGGTTTATTTAAATATTCCCCATGAAAAACGTAAAAAGTAGGCAACTCACTCAGCACATATAAGACGCTTTAGTTGAAAAATGATCTTTAATATTTCGGAAAGTTTAAAATTTGGTACAATCGAAAAGCAGGTGAAATTTTTTAATTAAGGAATATTTGATGCATATATAATAATCAATGCGAAGGAGAGATGACCAGAATATCGAAATGTTAAATGAAGTCACTGAACATTGTCGTATTAAATAACAATAATAAATAACAACAAATGAGGTCGATTATCGCTTTCCTATCCTTCTATATTAGTTTTTAATAATTTTAAAATCAACGCAAAACGCGTCTTATTTTGTTATTCGTTTTTTTTTGTTTCGCTTTCTAAAAATCTACCAACTATAAAAATCTCATTCGAACTTTTATTTCAAAAAGCTTTACTCGAAGAATAATATCTTTATGCACAGGCAAAGACGTAATGTTATAATGAAATACTAGCTGAAGGAACTGGTAAAAAGGAGATATAAGAAACTTAATAAATCTAGATTGCTTAAATGCTTTGTATTAGTTTCGTATTTTCTCGCAACTGATCACGCTAATTTCAGTATCGGTATAAATTATTCGCAGTAATTATAGGTAAGTTTTTTATCACTATTTTTTAAATTCGTTATTTTTTATTTTATATTCTTCCAAATAAATTATTTTTTCGATTTGTGTGGCTATATTTCTTTATTTCTACATCACTGAAGTAAATAAAATAAGTTAGTACTCATCATTTCTGCATGGACATGTTCAGCTAGCTGTTAGTTGGTACAACTGGCTAGAACATTTTGCCAGGTGAGTAGTCTGGCAAGATGAGTCGCCAGTACCATCGGAATTTTTAAAGGTCACTATTTATCAATATTTTTAAAGGTTTGCTTCAGGAAATCAATAATTTGAGTGGAAGCAATCATACCACTTGACCATCTCTGCCGCTCATCAACGGAATGAGTAGCTGAATACTCGAAAAATGAAAAACAAACTAGCTGAGAGATAAGTTTGAATTGTTTTCGAATTATCTTATAGGAATCAAAAAATTTCAGTTAATTTCAGTTCTTCAATTTTTCGCTCGTTTTAAGTCTAAAAACATTAAAAGCAATAATAGCGAAAATAGCCAAAAATATATTTCATGAATTATAATCAAATTATTATCAGTTATTTAGAAATATTTTTATTGTTTATGCAGTTTATTTTATTGTTTAAAAAAAGTAAGTTATAAAAAACAATTAAATGGAATATATATATATATATATATATACAAAAAAAAACAAATAAAAGTAAATTCAAACGGAAAATATCCTCGATAATAACAGTCCTTTCTTCTATAATATTTTTTTTCATTTTCCTTTTTGCCAGAAAGGACAAGTTAAATTTTATTTTCTGGCAAAATCTAGCGGAAACCTACTCTTAAAATTCTATAACGCTTCCCGTATTACATTTCGTCAAAATTATGCTGATCACTTCTCATAAAAAGAACAAAAGATAGAATCAGATTTACGCTATCGATTGTATAAGCTGAATTTGCAAGTTTCTGGAATGGTTTCTTTGTTAAATTTTATTTATTTCATTCTACTGCTACTCGATGCCCTTGTTTCCCAGATTTTAAATCTACCAACATCGGCGGTACACTGCCCTGATACACTGTGGTTGAGTAAAATGTGTGTGCCGATATGGCCAAGTGCTAATTGATTTTCAATTGCTATTGAACAAATTGCAAATAAATATCCTTAGACATTTTTCTCTTGGAATTGTCATGCCTCTAATGCATAATTTCAAACGAATGTCAGAACTAATTCTTTATGACACTTTTTTCGATGACCACTATATTAAAAAAGCTGAAAATATTCTGCTTTTTGCATGACAAAATGAAAATACTCTCAAGGAAAGTATTAAGAATTCATGTAGAGCAACATAGGTAATGCATGTTCTTTTGCCACTTTTTAAACGCACTTTAAATTTTTTATAAATTCTTTTGCTGCATAACGATGAAAAAATTGCAACTTTTCTGAAAAAGTTTTCAAATATAATTTAAAGAATAAGCATAGAAAATTAAAAAAAAGAAAAAGCAGAATCAATGAAAATTTGCCATGTGGCATACCTTTTATTAAAGCAAACTTACCACCTATTTTGCTCTTAATTTTGACCAAATTTTTAATTGATGTCTTGAACGATTGTCATTGTCCTTACGCCACTTGATCAGAGAGTAGCCAGAGGATTACTTGAAGAATCACTTGCTGTCTGGTTCCAACACCACTAGGATTTTATTTTTAATGATGCAGATTTACTCCGATCAAAAGAACTCATATTGCAAGAAACTATATGGTCAATCTTCCTAGAGCTCAATTATCGTTTTTCATTCGGATAAAAAATTATCAGATATGAATAATTTAGAAGGATAACTGAAAATTTCAACTGCATCAAATAACAATGGGCAATTATTCCAACAATCCACTAAATAAATCAATTTTCCACAAAATATTCACTCGAAAAAATAAACCAGAAAAAATTTTTAAAAACTGTTGGCATAACGGAACGATTCATATCAATTTTTTATAATAATGTTTTAATGAATTAAAAAAAAAAAATTTTGGAGAATATAATTTTCACTGCTAGCGAATTTGCTCACATGTAATTTATATGATGAAGAAAAAAATAAATTGAAGCAATTTCGTCTGATGCTTGATCACCTGGCTTATATGTTTCCTGTATTCTATTCAGACAATGAAAGCATTACGAATTTATTATTTTACGGAAATCTTCCTCTATATTTTTCATCTTTTTTCCATTAATATTAATAATTGAATGGTTTAAAATCTCAAATCCTGAAGTCCTTATTTGAATTATTTAATGACCATAAAAATGGCTCAGTGGGTTGTTGCTCAGTTAGTAGCGCCGATGCTGAGATTCTATTTTCCACAGGAGTAAACTTGTACAAAAATCCGAGTGATGCTGGCAACTGACTTCTATCGCCAAAGGAGTCTCTGGCATATTTATCCAATGCGACAAGCCAGTGAAGCGGGTTTAACCAGTAATGATGAGAATCTTTAAAAAAAAATGACCATAAAAAACTGCGATATAATAAACTGATTTTGTCTGAATATCCGCTTGTGCCATCACAAAATTTAAGGTTAATTTGTTGCAATGTTCCGAAAAAAAAGAATACATGGAATACATGCAAAAAGTTTCGCTTAATAAGCAAATAGGTAAATTTTGATATAACGTATGAAAGTTAGAATAAGAACTAAACGCCAAAATTATGAAATTTATTAAATTGGCTAATTCTTCTAAAATCAGAATAAATAGTAACAAAGAAATGATAAAAGGTGGTATAAGGAACCATTGCCCAATAACTTCGGTGTTATATGAAACGTTCTCTCCTGAAATAATTGCTGCGAGCCAATATCATATTTTCTGATAACCACAAACAAAAACGAATAATACAGAAAATGGACACGAGAATATTCCATGCCTTCTCCAAGTCAGCAACAAATTTATTAAAAGCACTTTTGCATACCATTCTTTAGCGATGAACCTTATTTCAAAAATACACCATGAAGTCAACTCTTCCAGTCAACGTCACTGTTCCAGCATCAAGCCTTAGCAGTCATAATAGGGATTGCGTGCACTTGATAACTGTGGTTGATGCTGTGTTGGAGAAGTCAAAAGACCTTTTCGACATAGAATTCGAGAGCATTAAAGATCCTTCACATAAATTCGTATATAGAATTTCGTATGAAAACCACTGCAAAATACTACAACGCGATGACATCATTTAAAATTAACACTCAAAATCAGAGAGAGTTACTGATGCTGAAAGTTCTTGAAGCCATGTTTTTGACTCATATATTATAAGCCTAAAACAAAAGAGAAAAAGAGAAAACTCAGACCGATAACTTCTAGATCCCACTGCGGGTTCCAACAGGCGCTTCAATCATATACTTCAAGAAGGAACGAAAGCCATTTGAGAGCGTCTATAATTTTCCCAATTTCATACTTTCCAATATTTACATCATATTTCAGGAATTTTCATTTGTAATTTTTACAATCGCTCAGTTCTTTCATTCGCTTTAGCAAAATTTATTAGTATAGTCTAGCAGTGAATCAACACTGTTTTATGATCTTTCTTTGAAGTGGAAGCTATTTGGCGAAACGTGAAATATTTTATTCTATCGCGGCTCCTTATGGTTGTAAAATAATAATACAAGTCGGAAACAAGCATTAAAAAATCGGAAGTCAGAAACAAATAAAAAACTAATACTAATACTAAAAGTACAAATACAAAAATACTATACAATAAAAAATAGAATAGAAAATACTAAGGATCTGCCACATATTTGCAAATATTCGCTTATAACTTAAATATAGTTAATTTATTATTAATCTCAAATCACAAATTTTTTCATAAGCTTTCTAAATCATTCAATTAACTATGTGCATATATTGATTTATCAATATTTACAAATTAAATTAAATATATTTCTTATTTTATACATTCATCGAGAAAAATGAAGACATCAAATAGAATAAAAATAGCAGTTAATAAGAATTCAAATCAAATGAAGAAGTGAAATAAGCATTACTTCGGTGGTCCGAGGTGCAGGCTTCAAACTTGTAGCCCGTTAGCGCCGGAGTGGTTCGATTCCACCTTGCGGTTATCAGGGCAACACCATGGAGTCATTGGGGAGGGAGAGATTTATGTTGGGATTAAAGATATAAAATTTGGAAGGATAGAGAACTTTTCGCATTGTTAATTCGGAATAGCAATTTGATCGAAGAAAATTTCCTCAAGTTTAATCAATACCAACATGAAATGGATTAAGAAGCTATCACCCTTTGACCACTAATGAAT